GAATCTACAAAAGGACTTGTGGTCTAAAGCGCCTCACAGGAACAACATTGAGTAAATCGGCTAGGCTCCCTATACAATGAATGGGGAGAAATGAGCGCAATCCATAAAGTCAGCCCCGGAGGCAGGACTAGAGGAGATGCTTATGAGAGGTGTGTGTCCTAAACCTTTCCTCTCATGCAGGTAGGCACCTAAGTCCAGGCTGCAGGGAGCACCTCTCCCTGTTTAGCAATCCACGGATGGGAACTACTTGCCTGGAGTCAGATGGCTTAGACTCTTAAGTAGTTTCATGCAGGAATTAAGTTAGGTGCTTGCCTTGCAAAATCACAGAGGGGGACTTGGTGGTGCCCGCTTTCACATACTCTGACCTAATACCTATAAGTGAGTGGGAACTGATTCCTTTATCGTTATAAAGTAGCAGTCATCCTCCTTCCCCCCAATCACTCCTTCGCTGTTCATCCACAGTGGGACAATTTAAACAGCAGAGACTGTGGAAGCCCTACCTTGGAATATCCACTAGCCCAGTGGTTAAAGCACTCTCCTGCAGGGGTATGGGTGGTGGGTATAATGGGCCAGGGAAGGCTTAGCCTGATCTGCGGTGGCCCACCCCTTCCCTGAGGCCCCTGCTGCTGCCTGCCTGCCATGTCTCCTCCACCCCCACCCCTCGCGGAGGTCCCTGCTGCTTGCTGCGTCCTACCTCCTGAGGGATGTGGGAGTGAGGAGGGACGCGGAGAGCCAGCAGCAGGTGGGGGAGTGAGGATGCTCGGCTGGGTGCGAGGGCTGGCGGGGGTCAGCGACGGCCTGGGGAGGGCCTTCAGGGGTGGGGGGGCTGGCGGATTGGAGCCCCTCAGGGTTTCTCCTGTTTGGGGGGGGGGTGTTGTGGCTCGGGGGGGGGGGCAGGGCCTTGGGTGGAGCCAGCAGGCTAGCCTCCCCAAAGCAGGGGTTCCCCTGCTGCCTATGTGCAGGGGTGTGGAAGTAACTTCTTCAAATCCTTTCTCCCCCTCGGGGGGAAGGACAAATTGAACCTGGGTCTCTCCCATCCCAGGTGAGTGGCCACTGGGCTAAAGTTATGAGGTAGGTGCTTCCATCACCCCCTTCCTTTTCCAGTTTGAAGGGCCTCCCTCTTCAGTGACCATATTTTGAATGGGACCTGATCCTGTGGGCAGCCTGTGAGAACACCTACCTTATCAGATTCTGTGCACACAATAGGCAGGCAAATACCTATCTTCCCCCAGGTCAGGGATCACTTGTGGGCTCAGGTTGGAGACAGGCATCCAAACACCCAGGTGAGGCAGAAGTTTAGGTGCTGCTAAAGGCTCCTCTGGGTACACTGATTTAAAAAACAAAACAAACCTGCAGCACCAAGTCTCAGAGACTGGGACAGCTGACTCGAGTGCAGGGCTAAAATATTCCAAAGTGGATGTTCAGGCCTGAACTCTGAGAGCTATGGCTGTGCTGCGGGTCTTTTATAACAGTGCAGGCATATCCTTATGATTCACTGGGAGTTTTGTGGACCACGGTGGAGCCTAAAATTGGGACTTAAGTGCCTAAACCCAAGACTTCAATGTTAGGGGGCAATTAAAGGTGAAATACAAGTACCATAAGATGGTGAATATGCATATGATGATAATTGATAGTGGAGGCTTAAGAGAAACCTACTGAACTGAAAATTTATGGGCAAGATGATGTTTTTAAAAAATCCCAGGGAATGGAAACTGTAATTAAATATTTCAGTGTTTCTTTGATTATAACTTCTGGTTAATTAAACTGCGTCTGGCAAAAGAATGGAATAAGGGCCAATGTGTGTGTTATAAATTGATACAGCAGCATCTTAAGCAAAGGTTTCAAGTAATATGTAGAACTTGATGCAGGTATTAAACTTAACACACTACCCGTTTTTCACTGGTTTCTAGACCATTATCTGCCCCTATTTGTTATTACAAACAAACATAACTAGATGGTATGTCTTAACTAGGGCTGTCAAAGGATTTAAAAAAATAATCCCAGTTAGTCGTGACATTAAAAAAATCACAGCTTTAAACAAGAATAGAATGCTATTTATTTAAATATTTTTGGGTGTTTTCTACTTTTCAAATATATTGATTTCAATTACAACGTAGAATATAAAGTGTACACTGCTCACTTTATATTTTTTGATAAACAACAATAGCATTATCTCCCATAAATGTAAACGAACTTGTTTGAGTGACTTCTGAACAAGAAGTAGGACTGAGTGGATTTGTAGTCTCTAAAGTTTTACATTTTGTTTGAGTGCAGTTACATAAAAAAATAATTTTACATTTGTAAGTTGCATTTTCACAATAAAGAGTGCACTACGGTACTTGTATGAGGTGAAATACCAAAAAATACTATTTCTTTTGTGGGGTTTTTTAGGGCTGGTGATTAATTGCCGTTAACTAAAAAAAAATTAATCATGATTAATCAGTTATCCCACTGTTAAACAAAAGAATATCAGTTGAAGTTTATTAAATATTTTTGGATGTTTTTCTACATTTTCAAATACTGATTTCAATTACAGCAAAATACAAAGTGTACAGTGATCACTTAATATTTTTGATTTGCACTATAAAAATTATAAACAAAATAGTATTTCAATTTACCTTATACAAGTACTGAGGGGAGGGATAGCTCAGTGGTTTGAGCATTGGCCTGCTAAACCCAGGGTTGTGAGTTCAATCCTTGAGGGGGCCACTTAGGGATCTGGGGCAAAATCAGTACTTGGGCCTGCTAGTGAAGGCAGGGGGGCTGGACTTGATCACCTTTCAGGGTCCCTTCCAGCTCTAGTAGGCAGATTTTTTTTTTTGTTACATTGTTTTGTTTGAGTGCAGTTATGTAAAACTGTAGAGCAGGGGTCGGCAACCTTTCAGAAGTGGTGTGCCGAGTCTTCATTTATTCACTCTAATTTAAGGTTTTGCGAGCCCATAATACATTTTAATGTTTTTAGAAAGTCTCTTTCTGTAAGTCTATAATATATAACTAAACTATTGTTATATGTAAAGTAAATAAGGTTTTTAAAATTTTAAGAAGCTTCATTTAAAATTAAATTAAAATGCAGAGTCCCCCGGACTGGTGGCCAAGGACCCAGGCAGTGTAAGTGCCACTGAAAAATCAGCTCGTGTGCCGCCTTTGGCATGGATGCCATAGGTTGCCTACCCCTGCTGTAGAGCCTATAAGTCCACTCAGTCCTACTTCTTGTTCAGCCACTCGCTAAGACAAATTTGTTTACATTTATGGGAGATAATGCTGCCTTCTTCTTATTTACAATGTCACTCGAAAGTGAAAACAGGTGTTCACATGGCACTTTTGTAGCCGGCATTGCAAGATATTTATGTGCCATTCATATGCCCCTTCCTGCTTCAACCACCATGCCAGAGGACATGCTTCCATGCTGATGATGCTCGTTAAAAAAATGTGTTACTTAAATTTGTTACAATTTTCCCCAAAGGAGTTCAGTATGTCTCCAGTTCCATGGCTTTACCTGCATTCTGCCAGATATTGCATGTTATAGCAGTCTTAGATGATCACATGTTCATTTTAAGAACACTTTTACGGCAGATTTGACAAAATGGAAAGAAGGTACCAATGTGAGATTTCTAAAGATAGCTACAGCACTCCACCCAAACTTTAAGAATCTGAAGTGCCTTCCAAAATCTGAGAGGGACAAGGTGTGGAACACGCTTTCAGAAATCTTAAAAAGAGCACCACTTTGATGCGAAAACTACAGAACCCGAACCACCAAAGAAAATCAACTTTCTGCTGGTGGCATCTGACTCAGACGATGAAAATGAACATGTGTCGGTCCGCACTACTTTGGATCGTTATTGAGCAGAACCTATCAGCATGGACTCCTGTCCCCTGGAATGGTGGTTGAAGCAGGAAGGGGCAAATGAATCTTGAGCGCATCTGGCACGTAAATATCTTGCGATGCCAGCTACAACAGTGCCATGCGAACACCTGTTCTCGATTTCAGGTGCCACTGTAAACAAGAAGCAGGCACCATTATCTCCTGCACATGTAAACAAACTTGTTTGAGTGATTGGTTGAACAAAAAGTAGGACTGAGGGGATTTGTGGGCTTTAAAGTTATTTTTTGTACATAATTCTACATTTGTAAGTTCAACTTTCATGATGAGATTACACTACAGTACTTATTTGCACTGTAAAAAAAGTATTTCAGTTCACCTATTTATAATCAAAATATAAAGTGATCATTTTGATTTCAATTACAACACAATACAATGTATTTGAAAATATAGAAAACATGCAAAAATATTTAAATAAATGGTATTCTATTTAACAGCATGATTAATTTTTGTAATTGCTTGACAGCCCTAATTATTATTTTATATTGCAGTAGCATTAAGCAGCTTTGTGCTAGGTGCTGTGTAAACACACATAAAGACAAGATCCCTGAAGAGTTGTGTCTGTACTAATGACTTCTGTTGCTGTTACTATACAGATGATCAAGAAACAGTAGATTGAAATTCAACACTTGTTTGCAACTCAGGACAGTCAGTGCTTCCTCTGGGGCAAAGTCATCATTCACAAGGCATTTTGATACTTACTTAAAACATGCATACAGCACAAACTGCTCTATAGAGCTGTCAACTTAGCTACTGGCATCAGGATGATGGGTATTACTGTCCATATGAAGAATTACAAATCCTCTTCACACATGGCTATAATCTAGCCAACCTAGAAAAGGCATTAGCCTTTCCTCTGTTTAATAAATTTAACAAACCACAAAACTGGTGTAGGAAGGACTCAACCAATTTTTTATATTAGGAATTTTATATTCAATAACTTGTTTTTAAAAACTAACTTTTAGTACCTAGAGGTTCATGGCCTATAAAACTTTTAGAAGCATTTTAACCTTAGGACACCATTTGAGAGAGACTTGCAAGGAAATAGACTTGAAGGCGTAGTTCACTACTATGTTCAAATGCCATCCATCAGTGAGCACAAACTGCAAACAAAACAGAATGGCTGTAGATGTTATTTTTTATTAATTACATTGATCACTGTTTTCCCCCGTGCACGTCCTCCTTCTAGCTTCAGAAAGGCCTTTGGAACTTCAGAAAAAGAGAAGACTTGCTCAACAACTGGATGGATCTATGAAACAAAAACAGAGATCACTTGGGCAGGGATCAAATGACTGAGCATGATCCTAACAGCTTCTCCCCTACTGCACTTCAAAGTTATATGTAATAAGTAACTAAAATACAGTAAAAAGAAGAACAGGAGGACTTGTGGCACCTTAGAGACTAACAAATTTATTAGAGCATAAGCTTTCGTGGACTACAGCCCACTTCTTCGGATGCATATAAAATACAGTGACATCTAACCTTGAACACTAATATAGTCATCTACTGTTCAAAGCTCTCATCTGCAGGACCCAGAGAAAGCAGATGGATACACTGATTCTACCTTATGTTCCATACATTAATATTTGGAGAAAGAGAAGTGTTTTACACACTTTTCTTCATTGTTGACATTTATTATTTATTTCATGTTCAACTCAACACACGCACCACATTCAAAGCTCCACAGGGCCAGCTTTTTAAAAGGTACTTAGGCACCTTTGGGGATATTTGAAAGCATCTATGTGCCTAACTCCCACTGGAGTCAGTGGGACTTAGGTGCTTTTGAAAATCTCACTAGGCCCCCACCTTTAAAAATGCCTTAAGAGTACAAGCCCCATACTTGTTCTCATAAGTCACTTTGGGCTAGTTTTTAAAAGGTGTACCTAATTCCCCTTTAAAGCAGTGGAGTTAGGCATCTAGATATCTTTAAAAATTCCACCCTTTAAATCCATACCTTTAAAAATCGATGTATAATTTACATGGTACAAGTTGTTTCTTGATCTAACAGCTATCTTGACGTATTAATTTTGCAAAGTAATCCTATGCACGGTTTTCATGTCATCTCCAAATAAAGTGAAGCAACCACAGTCGCTGTCCCCATCCCAGTGTGGAAATCAGCACTGCTTCACTCTTCTTATTTATACATATTCCTCCCCTGGCTTTTGCTAATGGTCACATTTCATCTGTACCCAGGGAGGGGGAATATTAGCTTCTTCTGAAAACATCTCTCATTGACAGCCAAAAAGGGTGCTAGAAAAGGCATCGCATATTGAGCTCTCTTCCCAGAGGCCAAGATAACAAGCTCTACAAGAACACTATCCAGAGGATGATCTCACACCTTGATGCAATATTCCTGCAGCACTGGGGTGGCCTCTATCATCTTTATGGAAAGAAAGATTAACATTAGCTGGTTCTGCATCTAACTGTTGCAGTGATCAGCATTTAAATAAAGCCCTAAACACCCTATTTATTATACTAGAAAGATGCTTGTCATTTATAACACCCTATTGATAATGACAACTCTCCTCAGGGAGAAGCTGCTCTTCATTTTCCTCCCCAATCTCTGTAGCTGAATACTTTAAAAATTCATAATTATTCTCTCACGTTACCATACTATTCAAATATCTCAATGCCAAAGGCATAATGCAACAAGACAAGCAGCTTGCAAACTTCAGAAGCAGTGGCTCTTTTTCAAGCTTCTAAGCAAACAGCCCCCCTCTCTCTCCCCCAATTTTACCAAACTGCAAAGGTTCATTTTCAGAAACACACCCCAGGAAATGAGTGCATAGCACATCTACCAGTGAAGGTTCCATATATGCACTTCACATGCAAGGTTTTGAAAACTCGCCATCTAATATATTCCCCCAACAGCTGCACAACCCCAATATAGTAGCTGAAAGTCCTCCTATAGGGTCCTTCACTCATTCCTCTGCATATTTTCAGTTCATATTATTGATATTAAACACCCTACAGCAAAGCCCAAATGCTGCAATAAAGAATGGGGGAGGGATAGCTCCGTGGTTTGAGCTTTGGCCTGCTAAACCCATGGTTGTGAGTTCAATCCTTGAGGGGGCCATTTAGGGAACTGGGATAAAACTCTGTCTGGGGATTGGTCCTGCTTTGAGCAGGAGGTTGGACTAGATGACCTCCTGAGGTCCCTTCTAACCCTGATATTCTATTAATCGATTTGTATGACTACAAAAAGCCAGGACATTAGTAATCAAAACAACCTATTATGCCACAGTAGTCACCTGCTCTCTTCAAGAAGTCACAATCATTTTTGACTCAGAAGTCAAATCAGCAGTGCCACGTGGAAGAGCATGCATGACTGAGATGTAAGCTCCCACACAAAAGAAAACTTGGAAGAAAGGATCAGAATTAGTATATTTGATTCTCCCCTAAAGCCATTGTGCTAATATATATTCGCCAGCTGCATCAAGCATGCACACTCTAGAGTGACATGGTAGGTGAGGGAATATCTTCTGTTGGTGAGAGAAGTTTTCGAGCTACTTCAGGTCTGGGGTCTCTATAGCTCGAAAGCTTGTCTGTCTCACCACCAGAAGTTGGTCCAATAGAAGATATTACCTCACGCACCTTGTCTCTCTAATATCCTGGGACTGACACAGCTACAACACGGTATACCACACTCCGGAGTGTAAGTTTTACCTGGCTGAACAAGGGGAGCAACACAATCTATGTTTTCTTTGCAGTGTGATGGAGAAATGGCAGAGGGGGCAGTCAGATGCTGCATAGCACTCACTACTATCCCAAATTGGAGCAATTCTGACTGAGTTCAAGACTAACTTGGTTTTGCTACGCTGGTCAAAATCAGTGCTGCCCTAGCGATCAGGGTCAGGGAGGTAAAGCAATAGTGTCTTTGGCTATACTGTTGGAGTGGATCAAGCAAATGCTGTGACTATTTGCAAGGGAAATGTAGGTTTCAGAGTAGCAGCCGTGTTAGTCTGTATCCGCAAAAAGAAGAACAGGAGTACTTGTGGCACCTTAGAGACTAACAAATTTATTAGAGCATAAGCTTT